CAACTGAGGTACATGCCCTTGACTAGAATCAAACCTGAGACTCTTCAGTCTTTGGGCAAATGCTCTATCCACTGAGTCATACTGGCTAGGGCATAGGAATCTTTTATTTTTATTTATTTTATTTTATTTAAAAATATGGTATACTTCATGAATTTCTGTGTCATACTTGAGCATGGGCCATGCTAATCTTCTTTGTATTGTTCCAATTTTAGTATATGTGCTGCCTAAGCAAGCACCATAGGAATTTTTTAATTGATATTGTTTTCAGAGAGATACAGAGGAAGGGAGAGAAAGAGAGAGAGAGATTTGTTCCACTTATTTATGCATTAATTGGTTGCTTCCTGTATGTGCCCTGACTGGAGATTGAATCAGCAACCTTGGCATATCAGGACAATGCTGTAATCAACTAAGCTACTCAACCAGGGCTATAGGAATTTTTAAAAAATCACCAATATCTACAGTTAATTTAATGGCTGCAAGAGATATAATTATTTAGATACCTATTTTACTTAAGAAAATGTTTGTCATTAGACATTGTGTTTACAATTTTCATGGTGGAATAGTGGTATCGTTCATATCTTTGAAAATTTTCAGTTAAAAGCATAACTTGACTCTTCTATAATTAGTATAAAATATATTGATATTAAAACAAGCATGCATATATTATGGGGTAAAATGCAAAATTCACATGGACTTCAAATATAGCACTTTACACATTGTAGGATACTTTGGGTTATATCAGGAAGTAAGAGGTTACTTACCTCTCTTGTTAGGAGAACGAAAGTGGAAAAGTTTGTTACTACCTTAAATCAATCTCACCATTCCCCCTGGATTATTGCTACTACTTTTAGTATGATCTTTTGTTTTTATTTTTGGGTTTTAAAAAATGTAGACTATACCTTGGTCAGGTGGCTCTATTGGTTGGAGTGTTGCTTGTACGCCAAAAGGTTACGGCTTCAATTTCTGGTGAAGAAACATACCCAGCTAGGACACATAACGGAGGCAACCGGTCAGCGTTGCTTTTTCTTTTTAGGATGGAATTGCTTTTATTGGGGTGGGAGCTGCAGGCCCACCCATGTCAGGTTAGTGTTCTGTTCCGAGGCACCTGGAAGCCTGGTGACTCCACCTGGCACCTGCCCGGGTTAGTGGAACATGCAAAGCTCAGTCAGAGGGTGGAGACAAGGGGCTGGGTGGAGCAGGAGGGGTGGCCCCCAGCTGGGCTGCCTGAGTCAGTGCAGACAATCCATCCGGCATCCCCGGGCCCAGTGAAGGGCTGCGGCTCCCTGGGAGAGACAGGCAGGCGGGCAGCACCGCAGACAGGACTTTAGAGGCTCAAGGGGCCACAGCCGCCCGCCCCCCCCCCCTCCCCCCAGGAGAAAAAAGCCTGCTGGAGTCCCAGCCATTCTAGCCAGGGCCAGCCACCCCAGGTTCACCAGGAGGGTCTGTCTCTCACCCCAGGCCTCGGGGACACAGAAGGTACTTATTAGGAGCTGAGGCTGAAAGGCAGAAGCCAGAGGCCTGAGGTCTCAGGAGAGTGTCGGGGCTGGAGGCAGGAGACCAGGACAGAGCCAGGCCAGTTGGCTCTACAGACTGGACCCTCATCTTCCCATGCAGAAGGGACTTTTCCTGGTCGATGTTTCTCACATCAATGTTTCTCTCTCCTTTTCTGTCTCTCTCTCTCCAACATTACTTTTTAAAATGTAGATTATTATAATTTAACTGTATTACAAATATATGTGAAGATGCCTGCATAACCCTCCCAGTCCCTTTTCTCATCCTTCTAGTGAAATCACCATCCTGAATTTGGTATCCATCTTTCCCATTCATTTCTTTTTAATTTTATTACATGTGCTTGGATCCATTAACAGTATAAAGCATTGCTTCACAAATATGTAAACTTTATAGAAACAATATTGGGGTTTATTTTTCTCTCAGTTTATTATTTCAGAGACTAGAGGCTTGGTGCACAAAAATTTGTGCACTGGTGGGGGAGGGGGGGGGATGTCCCTCAGCCCTCTCACAGTCTGGGACCCCTCAGGAGATAACCACCTGCTGGCTTAGGCCCGCTCCCCGGGTGGCAGATGGCAGGCCCGATCCCTCAGTGCCTGCCCCGCCTCCCCAGGTCGCGCACACAGCAGGGCCCATCCAGGGGTTGGGGCGCCACCCCAGGTCGGGTCGCACATGGACGCCCGCTGCCCTAGGTCGCAGATAGCATGCCTGGATGGCGGCAGGGCAGGCGGGATGGCGCTGTCCCACCCTTCCTGCAGTATGCAAATTAGCCGCCATCTTTGTTGACGGTTAATTTGCATATCATGCTGATTATCCAATGGTAGGCATAGCGAAGGTACGGTCAATTACCATGTTTATCTATTATTATGTAGGATTATTACAGGTTGATACATGTATGGATATAATTGATTTTTTTAAAATGCTGAATAGTAACCCACTACAAGCATATTATACAATTAATTTATTCATTATTCTGTTATTGGACACTGGGGACATTCAAACTGCTAGAATCATTCCATAAAATGGACACAAATTTTTAAAAAAAATATATATTTTATTGATTTTTTACAGAGAGGAAGAGAGAGGGATAGAGATTTAGAAACATCGATGAGAGAGAAACATCGATCAGCTGCCTCCTGCACACTCCCTACTGGGGTTGTGCCTCCAACCAAGGTACATGCCCTTGACTGGAATCCAACCTGGGACCCTTCAGTCCGCAGGCCGATGCTCTATCCACTGAGCCAAACTGGTTAGGGCTGGACACAAAACTCTTAACAATCTATTTGTCTAGCTAGGATTTCAGTGTAGGGCAGCAGTGTATATGGGCAACTTATAAAGAGAATGAAGAGGCTATAGAGATTAGAGTGCAAATCCTTTTATATATAATAATATTTTGATTTCAGAGAGGAAGAGAGAGAGATAAAAACATCAATGATGAGAGAATCATTGATTGGCTGCTTCCTGCATGCTCCCTACTGGGGGTTGAGCCCGAAATCCAGGCATGTGCCCTGATGGGAAATCAAACTGTGAACTCCTGATTCATAGGTCAGTGCTCAATCACTGAGCCATGCCGGCCGAGCAGTTCTGAGTTTTCTAAAACAGAATAGAAGATGGATCAAACATTCAATAGGAATTCTTGTAGACACAAATTTAAATTATATACTATCTTCACTGTTGCCTATATGCCTCCTATGACTGTGTTTTATTGTATTAGTTTCCTATAGCTGCTGTAACAAATTTCCATGAACTTGGTGTAAAACAACATAAATTATCTTACAACTCTGGTGGTCAGAAGTACAAAACAGGGTCTCACTGGGCTAAACTCAAGATGTCATCAGGGCAGAATTGCTTCACAAGGCTCTAGGGAACAATCCATTTCCTCGATTTTTCCAGCTGCTGTCCTTGTTCCTTGAATCATGGTCCCCTTCCAGCCAGTAATTACATCATTCACATCTCTGCTTCCATCTTCACATGTCCTTCTCTTTTGCCTCCCTCTTTTAAGGGCCTATGTGATTGGACTGGGACTACCCAGACAATCCCAGATTATCTTCCTACCTCCAGATCCTTACTTTAATTACCTCTTCAAAGTTACTTTTGCCTTTATACTTACAGGTTCCAGGGATTAGGAGGTGAACATCTGTGTGTCTGTGTGTGGAGGAGATGGGGGGTCATTACTCTACCTATCATGAAACCCTTGGCTTCTAAATGACCTTCATGTATGATGTGGCACTTCTGCTCCTTCTTCAACTCTCACCTGCCACTTGAAGCAACTGCTTCATCTTGTGGAAGCTCCAGCTTGACTTTCATAGTTCAGGAAAGTCTTATATTTAGGGCTCGGGTGTTGTCTCCATAGGATTTGAGATTCAAAGTTCAGGGGCTGTAGATTTGAGAACCTAGAGGGAGCTTTAGGTCTTGAGAGGGACCCCAATTCTGGGAGTGTATGCTAAAATTCAGAGAGCTTGACCCAGGTTTTGGACAATAGGGGACAATGGCAATAGGGAATAAGTATAGTATTCACTTTTTATTTTTTTTAATTATATTTTTTATTGATTTCAGAGAGGAAGGGAGTTGAAGAGAGAGATAGAAACATCAATGATGAGAGAGAATCATTGATTGGCTGCCTCCTGCACGCCCCCCACCGGGGATTGAGCCCACAACCTGGGCATGTGCCCTTGACCAGAATCGAACCTGGGATCCTTCAGTCCGCAGGCTGACACTCTAGCCCAGGGGTCCTCAAACTATGGCCCACGGGCCACATGCAAATACAAATATTGTATTTGTTCCCGTTTTGTCTTTTTACTTCAAAATAAGATATGTGCAGTGTGCATAGGAATTTGTTCATAGTTTTTTTTTAAACTATAGTCCGGCCCTCCAACGGTCTGAGGGACAGTGAACTGGCCCCCTTAAAAAGTTTGAGGACCGCTGCCTAGCCATTGAGCCAAACCAGCTAGGGCAGTGTTCACTTGTTAGGGGAGGATAAAAAAAACATAAGTGGACTTGGCCTTACATTCAGCTCTGGTTTCAAGAAGGAAGAGAGATCACTTAAGACTTGTCACCTAATTACCTGAGTCAGAAGTCAAAGTCCTTCTGATTTTGCATCTGTCAGTGCCCCTCCCCTTTCCAACAAGATTTGGGGCAAAGAGCAAAGTAAGAGGAAGTTATAAATAAATTCTCTCTTCTAGTTGTTCTTTCTCTGTTCTCTCCAAGAAAGAATGATGTGTCAGTCTTGTCTTAACCTTAATTTAAAGGGAAGGGGAAGTTTAAAAAATTCATATAATATTAGGAAAGAACTTTGTAATTCAGATATCCTAAGGGATTTACTCCACAGCATTTATCATTTGCACCAAAAGCTTTCTTGTCAACCCATTGATGCTAACCTCACACCAAATTCTCTCTTAATCTACTACCTGTTTGTACAGTCTAGACACCCAGTAAGTGCCTGAGACTCAGGAATGAGTCATTCTCTGCTCAATCAGGTGGCAGCAGTCACTCCTGAAGAAACAATCTTAAGGCATGTTGTTGACAGGAGCAATCAGCACAATATATAGCTCCAGGGGAGAAAATCAGTGGCACACGGCGCCATGGCTTCTGACGCAGGTAAAATGGATCGAGGTCCTGTAAGCCTCATAGTCTTGAAAAGTGTAGAAACTCTGTGTGTGTATGTGTGTGTCTTACGTGTGTTCTTGGGTATTTTCCAACTTTCCTATTTATTACTACATTAATGCTATTTTTAAAAATACATAATTTCACTTTATTTGAAAATTGTCTGCCTCCCTGTAGACATTATTTTTTTAAAGGAGATTAATCTGCTGAATGGTGACTGGCTGTGCTTGGTTAAATAAGATTTGTTATAATTATTAATACTAACTATTGACATCCACAAATAATTTTAAACAAATGACATTAAATCAATGCTTGTTTCACTACAATAAAAAATTAAATATACAACTGTTAAATAATAATTTAAAATAACAACCGAAGTGATACCACAAGGGCATGCTAATTATTTAAGGGTTAGTTAACTTTAGAAAAATTCATGGGAGAGGTAGAACACTTCAGGCTGTAGAAGGAAATAATTTTCAGATGAGGTGGAATTTGAGTTTGGATTCTAAAGAGGTAGAATTTAGGTTGGCAAAGGGAAGGCATTTCCAGGTTGATTGACACAAAGATTTTGAGAGAATTGACAAAGATTGTGTTTTGAATATACTGAGTGCACTGGTGAGGCTAGAGAAGAGTTTGTGGAAATAATCTATAGTGAAATTAGAAGGCAAATTTGAAGGGCTATTACAGAGAGGGCTTTGAATGCCAGGCTAAGGAAATTGAGGTCGACCTTTTGGTAAAAGCAAATCTCTGGAGAACTTGCGAATAGCATAGACACGATTGAAATAAAGCTTTAAACACTTTCACCTGGCATTTGATGTCTTCTGGACTGGAAGCAGAAAAGACTGGAAGCAAGGAGACCAGTAAGAAGACTGTTGTAAGAGTGTGGGCATGATGTGATTGGAAATAATACAGATATCAGTCATGGGAGAATTTTGCCACCCTTGAGATCTTCTATGCAGCAGGATTTTGATATCAATGCCTCAGTAACCACTGGGCTCCAATCAAAAGCTGGTTCTCTTTCACTAGTTCAATAATATTTTTCTACATGCTCTTTGACAATGCTGCCTTTTTTTTTTTTTTTAACTCATCACTTATGCAGATGTCTTTTCTCCTTTCTCTTGAATTGTGGTTTAAAAATATATATGCACATTAAGCCAATGGTGTCCTAGCTTCTCTCCACACTACCAATGACTCTTTCTGTAAGTTATAATCTTAATTGAGATCATCGTAACTTAAAACATAAAGCTTTACGAAATAATACAGACTCCCTGTACATTTTGCTTAGTTTCCACCAATAGTTACATTCTGCAAAACTGTAGAATAATATCACAACCAGGATGTTAACATTGACACAATCCATCAATTTTATTCAGATTTCCCCAGTTTCACTTGTACTCATTTGTGTGTGTGTTTAGCTTTATGCAATTTTGTCACCTGTATAGGTTTGTGGATCTGCCACCACAGTCAGATTTAAACAGTTCCCACAGTACAGATCTGATTTATTGCCCCTTTATAGCCAAACACTCCTTCTTCCCGCTTCACCCCTGTTCCTAATCCTTGATAACTATTTATCTGTCCTTCTAAAATTTTGTCATTTTAAAGTGCAACTAAAGCCCAGCCATTATGGCTCAGTGATTGAGCATTGGCCTGTAAACTGGGAATTCACGATTCATATCCTGGCCGGTGCACATGCCCGGGTTGCAGGCTTGTTCTCCAGTGTGGGACTTGCTGGAGGCAGCTGATCAATGATTTTCTCTCACCACTGATGTTTCTTTTATTTAGATTTAAATTCTTTATTGCTTAAAGTACTACATGAGTCTCCTTCCCCGCTGCATTGACCTCCCCCAGCTGCTCCCACCCCCCAGCACATACCCTAACCCCGCTACTGTCTGTGTCCATTGGTTATGCTCATATTCATGCATTTGGTTGATCTCTTACTCCCACCCCCCTGCTTTGCCTCATAGGTTGGACAGTCTGTTTGATGCTTCTATATCATTGATGTTTCTATCTCTCTCCCTCTCCCTTCCTCTCTGAAATCAATAAAAATATACTTTAAAAGTGCAACTCAATTTGTATATATTACTTGACATACTCATCTCTTGGTCAACAGGTTCTTCAGCTGGTGATCCCACCCTGAGGTAAGAATAATACTGTCAGCCCTGGCCCAGTAGCTGTTAGTTAGAGCATCACCCCAATATGCCAAGGTTATGGGTTTGTTCCCCAGTCAGGGCACATGCAAGGATCAGTCAATTAATGCATAAATAAGTGGAACAACAAATCAATCTCTCTCTCTCTCTCCAAAAACTAATTTAAAAATTTAAAAAGAATAATACTGTCATATTGTGCATTTAATTCAACCAAGAATAAGTGGGTATTAAGAGCTGGAGGACTATAGTTAACCTTATTGTTCCGTTCCTCTTTTACCATGTTCCCATTCTTTCTCCCCATTTTCCAACTTTATTCTCTATGATTATTGCTTTCTTTGTGTTTGTTCCTGTCTTTTGGTTTCTGTTGAAATAAATGACCTTCCAGCTTTGTTCTGTTATTGCCTTACTAATGCTCTTTTCTCTTTAGATCACATGTTTTTATAGCGATTAGTGAAAGGTCCAAGGAATGGATTTGTCACTTTTGTTTCAATTCCTGTTTTATATTATATGCCCATTTTCCACACATAGCATTATAACAGGGGACTTTTGGTCAAGGAATATATTATCTTATGATGGTAGAAGGACTTACTTATGTAATAAATGAATGTGATACTTTAGGGGTGAATGAGAAATATTAGAGTGTAACAAGCTTATTGGAAAGGAGGGTCCTCAGCACAATCCTGAGTTTCCTAAGTCACAGCTTGGACACACGGAGATGCCATTGACAACAAGTTGAATTTCTTTCTTATGAGGTATTAGTGTATAGAATTTAACATGGAGGAATCCTGAGGCCAAATTACTCTCCTCTTAGGCTTGGCAATAGAATTTTATTATTGACTAGAGGCCTGGTGCATGAAATTTGTGCACAGGATGGGGGGGGAGGTGTCCCTCAGCCCGGCCTGTACCCTCTCTAATCCGGGACCCCTTGGGGGATGTCTGACTGCCGGTTTAGGCCCGATCTCTATGGGTTACTGGTGGTTACTAAAAATTCTTTGTTAATTCCAATGGGTTAACAAAAATAGACACAAAAATTCTCCAACTACCCATCCCTAAGAAAAAATTGCATAAACCAATTCTTATGGGGCCTAAACCAGCAATCAGACATCCCTCTCACAATCCGGGACTGCTGGCTCCTAACCGCTCACCTGCCTGCCAACCTGATCCCCCTAACTGCTCTCCCCTGCTGGCCTGATCCAACTAACTGCTCTCCCCTGCCAGCCTGATCATCATTCCTAACTGCCTCTGCCTTGGCCCTGACACTATGGCTTTGTCCAGAAGGACGTCTGGTCTAATTAGCATATTACCCTTTTATTAGTAAAGATTTGAGGCTTCTACGCCTGAGAAAACCTAGTTGGAGTTCATTGAGGAATAGTAAATATTAACAATTGGAACATGGCACCTCTAAGAGTGAGACAGAAAGATTAGGATATAAGGAGAAAAAGGACACATTTATACCTGAATTTAAGACTAATAAGCAATGGTATAGAGGGAGTGGTAACCAAATAACAAGAGTTGGGAAAAAATATCTTTACTGTGTTTGTGACAGAAACTCTGATAATTCAAGTGGAACTCCCCAAATAACTTTTAGACATAGAGAAAAAAAAGTGTCCTGAGATTCATGTTTTAGATTTGCCTTATAGAAAAAGGGAGCATTAAATGATTTTTAAATTTCCTCTAAAAATTGCATGACAATATTTTAGGAGAAGAATCGAACCCTGGGACTTTGAAGCAATCTTTGACCCCAGAGAACTCCGTAAAGAGGCCTGTCTGCTCTATGAAATCAAGTGGGGCACGTGCCACAAGATCTGGCGACACTCAGGCAAAAACACCACCAGGCACGCTGAAGTCAATTTTATAGAAAAAATCACTTCAGAAAGACAATTTTGCTCGTCCACCAGCTGCTCCATCATCTGGTTCTTATCCTGGAGTCCCTGCTGGGAATGCTCCAAGGCTATTACAGAATTTTTGCGTCAACGGCCTGGTGTGACTTTAGTTATTTATGTGGCACGGCTTTATCACCACATGGATGAACAAAACCGACAAGGACTCAGGGACCTCATTAAGAGTGGTGTGACTGTCCAGATCATGACAACCCCAGGTAAAAAACAATAAACCAAGAACTTAAGTGTTTATGAGAGACTGTGGTGGCAGCCAGGAGATTGATTATCCCAGAGTAGAAGTCTCAGAAGTAAAAGTTTAAAATAATATAGAAAGCACCAGGTCTGAAATTCATAGCAGGGAAAGTATCAAAAGAATACAACTTTATTTTCTACTTTGCCATTATGGCCTCTCAGCCATCTTTGAATGAACTGTTTTGTTCTTTTCAGGGATTCAGGGAGAGCCTAGTCCATCTGAAGTAGCAAATGGGCCAGAGGGCTTTAGATATGTTATATGTACTAGGGGTCCAGTGCACGAATTTGTGCACCTTGAAAGGCACTGTGGGCCGTGAGGCTGCAGTAGGCACAGAGGTGGGTCTCGGTCCATCCTCTGCGCCCCTGCCCGGCCCCTCCTGCCGTGGCTCCTGGTCCCATGTCTGCCGGCAGCCCCGCTCCCTCCGTCCCTGCTCCCATGCACTGATGGTGCCTCCCTATGGCATGGAACAATTGGGGCTGGTGCCAGTAGCAGGTGCAAGTGGTGGCTGCTGCCCGGATTGCCCCTCAGGAGATGGGGAAGGTGGAGAAGCCTTCTGGGGTGATCATGGCTGGCAGCCACCCCTTGCACCCACTGATGGCGCCAAGCAATTGGGACCAGTGCCGGGCACCAACAGCAGCTCTGGAGCCAGCAGCAGGTGTGAGCGGGTCTGGCACTGGCAGCGGGTGCAAGCACTGGGTGGGACTGCAGCACATGGGAGCAAAGAATTTTTAGTAACCACCAGAGGCTTGCCCTGATGACAGCGACTAGCACCCCACCTTGGTCTGGTGCCCCCGCTCACCTGCTCCACCATACCGCGGTGGCCGACGCCCACCATGTTCCACGCACACCCCCTGGTGGTCAGTGCACGTCATAGTAACCTGTTGTTCAGTTGTTCCAGTTGTTCCACTGTTCAATCTATTTGCATATTAGCCTTTTATTATATAGGATATATAGTGACCCCCCCCCCCAATGTATTCACACTTAATAGCTGCTCAATTGATGTTTCTTTTCTTTTTATTCCAAAAGCACTGTTTTTATTTATATAGAACCCTAACCACTTCAGTGACAGGAGGAGTGGGAGAGGTTCCTTTTTCAATCCAAGGGCCTCCATAATGTTCATCTGTTATTACCAAACACACAGGCAAGTGGCGTAATGGATTTGGTAAACTGACTACAATGTTTAGTCTCTCTCTGTGAGAGCAAGAAGATGAGCGTCAATCTCTGCTTCTGTAAGAATCCTGAATTTAGGATTTTCAACTGTAACTACTCCAACTTCTATTTCTGACATTTTGAAATCAATTGATAGAACAGTAGGCAGGCAGGTAATCGCAGTTTACACTGTCTGTTCAAATGTCCAATCAAATTTCTTCTTCACTTTTTTTTCAAGAAAGCTGGTTGACTCGGTTTGTTTAATGCCTGCTGCAGTGGCTTTAAACCCACAGTAGTAACCTGCCGGATCACACTTGTACACCTGAGGGCCTTGTTCTTCATCTATACCAATTAAAATCATACAACAAACAAGGGGCCTCATTTCAGCATTCTGTGTGTAGACCTGAGAAATATCAGCAATTCTTTTACACAGCATGTCCCCAGGAATCTCAATAGCCATACTTGTATTTCCAATTAGCTGCCTCATAGCGTGCCCTCTGTACCTGGGATCTGCTGTCAGCTGTCATTCCTGTCATCATACAGCCAATGTTTTCAGTTATCTTGAATAAGTGAGTCACTGTGCTGGAATCCAATAATTTGTCAGGTACTTTTTTCTGTGTGACAGTTACTGCATGGTCTTTCCCTCTGACAGCTACTGATGTAAGGCCACCCTGATTAATAGCCTTAAAAACATATTCTATTTGGTAAAGCCGGCCCTTGGGTGAAAAAATGGTAATATGACAGTCAAAACCAGCGCTGGAACCACGGGACATGTTGATGCAGCCACTACTTCAAAACGGTCTCCTCAATTGATGTTTCTTTCTTTTCAGATTTAACCCATTGGAATTAATAATTATTGAAAGTGTGTATACATGTTTGGGAGACACCCAGTATTTAAGTTCAGCTTTCTTTAAGTAACTTTTTTTGGTATTTGTTGAATGATTTGTGTTTCCTTAGAGTATGATTACTGCTGGAGGAATTTTGTCAACTACCCACCTGGGAAAGACACTCACTGCCCAATATATCCCCCTCTGTGGATGAAGCTATATGCACTGGAACTCCACTGCATAATTTTAGTAAGTTATTTTAAGAGCCAAAGATTCTTATGCAAAAAAAAAAAAAGAATAGCATCCTCCTTCAAACTTCTTTCTGGATAATTTTGACATGTACTCTCCTCATCATTTGTCATTTATATTAGTTATTTAACTTCTTGACCTATTTTAAGAAAATGTAAGACAATCTCTTTGTGGAAAATAAGTAGGAAAGGGACATGGATGAACTGGTCTAAGATATATGTGGACTCCCTATTAATTAGATACTATTGTTACTACAATACATACTGGCTTTACAGAATTGCAGATATTCTCCTTTACCATATTGGTGTGTATCATTCTATTGAAGAAATGTGTTCCATTTGTACTCTCTTGAGAATAGTTCAATGGTCCTTTAACTGGTGCTATAAAATGTTTGTGGTAATAGTAGAATTAAGAAAAATATTAGCTTACTATTTTATTTTATTTTATTTATTTTATTTCAGAGTCTTCCTCCCTGTTTAATGATTTCAAGAAGATGTCAGAAACAGCTTACATGCTACAGGCTTAATCTTCAAAATTGCCATTACCAACAGATTCCACACCATATCCTTTTAGCTACAGCATGGATATAACTTCCTGTGACTTGGAGATGAATAGAATGATTCTTTGCAGGCAATGATGATTCACTAATGATTGAATGTCATTAGTTAGAATCTAGAATTTTTTTTGTTTCTGTTACTATAAATTTACAAATTATAAATTATCTGAAAAATAAAGGACTATCCCATTTACAATAGCATAAAAATACATAGGAATAAATTTAACTAAGGAGGTAAAGACTGAAAACTATAAGATCTTGATGAAAAAAATTGAAGAAGACACAAATAAATGGAAGGATATCCCATGTTCATGGATTCAAATAACTAATATTATAAAAACATCCATACTCCCGAAAACCATCTATAGATTCAATGCAACTCTATCAAGATTCCAATAGAATTTTTTCACATAAAAAAAATACAATTCTAAAATTCATATGGAACCATAAAAGACCTGAATAGCCAAAGCAGTCCTGAAAAAGAAGAACAAAGCTGGAGGCATTACAAGTCCTGATTTCAAACTATATTACATATCTATCGTAATCAAAAGAATATGGTATTGGCACAAAAACATAGACCAGTGGAACAGAATAAAGAGCCCAGAAATAGACACATATATATGTGGTTAACATTTGGCAAGGAAATCAGGAACACAATGGGGAAAAGGTAGTTCCTTCAGTAAATGATATTCACATACAAAAGAATGAAATGGGACTTCTATATTACATCCCTCACAGACATGATTTTAAAATGGTTTAAAGACTTAAATGTAAGTCTTGAAACCATAAAACTCCTAGATGAAAACATGGGGAAAATCCCCTTGACCTTAGCCTTGCAATAATTTTATGGATATTATACCAAAAGTGAAAGCAACAAAAGCAAAAATAAACAAGTGGGACTATAGCAAACTAAAAAGCTTCCGCACAGAAAAAGAAACAGTCAACAAAATGAAAAGGCAACCTACGAAATGAGAGAAAATATTTGTAAACCATATGTCTGAAACAGGGCAAATATCCAAAATATGTAATGAACTCATACCACTCAGGATCATGGATTGTGTTTTCTACTACTGTTTCGCAAATCACCCCAACACTTTGTGGATTAAAACAACAATATTGATTATGTCACAGTTTATCTGGGTCAGGAATTTAGGAGCAACTTCGTGTGCAAACTATCAGCAAGGGCTGCAGTCCTCTCAAGGCTTGACTGAAGCTCCAGAATGTGCTTCGCAGATGACACATCACATGGCCGGCAAGTGGGGGGAGGTCTCAATGTCTTGCCATGTAGTACTCTCCCTGGGGCTGCTGAATATTTTTACGACTTTGCAATTAGTTACCTACGGAGCAAATGGTCTAAGAGAAAGCAAGGTGCAACTTGCCATGTCTTTAATGACTAGGTTTTGGAATTACACATTATTTATTCTGCTGTATTCTATTGGTCACACCCCATCCAGCCATGATACCATGTGGGAGGGGACTACACAAGGACTTGGATCCCAGGAGATGGCAATCATTGGAGGCCATCTTGGGTTTTACATGTAGGAGCTTCCACTGTGTTTTTCAGGAAAAATAATGATATGAAGCCAATTTCTAAGAAGAAGCTAAAGGGAAACAAAGAACAAAGTAGCTTCTATTTTTATTTGTTTCTGAATCAGAACATCATAAGATTTAATTGATGATTTATTATTCAGAATTTATAGGATGATTTATTGTTGTAATTGAGTAGCTACACACACACACACACACACACACACACACACACACACACACACAGGTTATTATTTTGCTTACACTGCAGTCTAATGCAAGTTGGGTGGGAATGTCATTGAGGGACCCCAATTCTTTTCATCTGATGACTCCATCTTTCCTATGGCCTTGGAGTCCTCTACTGAATTCTCTACATTTCATTTATCCAGCACACAGAGGAGAGAGAGAGAGAGAGAGAGAGAGAGAGAGAGAGAGAGAGAGAGAGAGAGAGAGAAGGAGGGAGAGAGAGAGAGGAGAAGGAGGATGAAGAGGAGGAGGAGAAGAGGAAGAAGAAGAAGAGAGAGGAGAAGGGAGGGAAAGAGAGAGAAGGCATTAAGTAGTATGAAAGAATGCTTTCTTAGAATTAAGGCTTGACTGGCTATGGCAAACATCAACCCTGCACCCATTCACTAATCAAAAATCAGTTATGTGGCCCTACCTAACTGTAAGGGAGGCTGAGAAATTCAGTCCAGTCCTGTGCCCAAGAAGAAATGAAAATGGGCTTTGATGAACACATAAAGTGCCTGTCACAATGAGGAAAATAGGACACGAGACATTATGCTACTTGTCCAGGGTCAGTAGGGAATGTCATGGCAGAGGTGGAATTAAAAATCAGTGTCTTTTTTTTTTTTTCTGAGGTATTCAGGATATATCAGTAATCAACGTATCACTGACTTTCATGGAGTCAGACTCGCCCAGTCATTTGCCTGGCTTGCCTTCCTGGGTTGGCATAGGGATAGGCAGTCTCTCTCTGGGGCATAAATACAGGCTGGGGATTTATTAGATGTCTATATGAAGAATATTTGTGCCTTTTTAAAACTCTTGTAAAAGTTGTTCTTATAAAAAGATTTATATTAGAAAAAACTCTTAAAGATAGGAGACAGTTTCTCACATGAACTTATAATACTTATTTATTTTACAAGAAAAATAGTGGAAATCATTCATGTTTTTAAAAGTCTCATTTGTTTCAGTTTTTAGGAAGCTGAGAGCTTTGTCTTATATCTGAACATTTTTCTCCATACTCCACATCCCACTACTTACCTCCAGTCATTTATTTCTTGTTTAAAGGTTTCTGTTAATTTGAATAATTGTATTTATGATTTGAGAAGTTAGTATGGATAAGTCTTAAAAAATTTTTAATGGTAGCAATTAAAAACTATGTGATAAAGTTATGAAATACTATAGGAAGGGCCTAAAATTTTAAATAAATAGATAACATTAAATAGTTCTGCTTTCTACTTGATTTGCCTCATGTATCTTTATATCATCAGAACTTAAGTGAGTGGGTATTATAGGACCTGCTTAATTTATGAAAAATAAATTATTTAGAATTAGTAAAAGTACCATGAGGGGATATAAGGAGCACTGTCTATATGTCAGAAAACCTAAATATATTCATCATTCTGTCACCTAAACACTGTAACCTTGGACAACTATATTAACTTATCTAGGCCTTAATTTACTCATCTATCATCAAAATTTTGATGACTATGGCTTAAGGAAAGGGAAAATGTTGTAAATGTTTCCCTCCATGTCCCACGTGGTTCAGGGTTCAGGATCTGGAAGAGGAGCCGCACACAAATGAAAGAGAAGAGACAAGAGATAATTTGGAAATATTGGGGTGCCGGGGTCCAGGCGTTCCCAAAGGTGTGGACGGAGTCGGCGAAGAATGTTTTACATGGAGACAGCGTTCAGAACTCTCCAGCTCTCTTTATTCTCCGTGGATCTTCCTGTGCCTGGCTGAGGCCACAGAGAAAGATCCTGAGGCAAACTGAGCCTTTATTTTATAGTCAGAGGTAAACAAGGTAGTGGTTACCATAATTACACTGTTCTTGTGAGTTTCACTTGTTTTGACCACTTCCTGCACTTCCCTCAGCCCATTAGCTTCCCAGATAAGATCTGGGGAGCCTCATAAGGTCAAGCCTAATTATGCTTAAGAGGACTGTGCCCTCTAAGCTGGGACTTGTTTGTGACTTTGCCAACAGGTCAGTCCGAGGCTTAATCCTATATCGGCTCCCCACAAGAAAAGATAAAAATGATATGGTTTATGGAATAGGAAATTTGGAGCCAGAAACTTCTATTTTTCTCTATGGTATGAGTTATCTATTGTGGTATGACAAATTACCCCCAAATTTAGTGGCTGAGTCAAGACACATTTACTCTCTTAGTTTCTGTGTTGGGAATTTGGGAGTGGCTTCGCTGGGTGGTTGCTCTGGATCTCTCATTGGTTTCAGTCCCAAGAGGGTCTGTGCTCATCTGAGGGTTGAACTGGGGCCAGAGGATCTGCTTCCAAGATGGCTCACTCACATGGCTGTTGGCAAGTGGACCCAATTCCTTGCCATGTGGGCCTCTTCATAGGTTGTCATCATAACATAACAGCTAATTGCAATATAGATGTTAGATATTTTCTTAAGTATTCATTAAATCTCTCTAAAAGAATATACTCATGTCTTAAAAAAATAATACGTAACATTGGTTTATTTTTTTTTTAAGAAAGCACTAAGATTTTTAAAAAAATATGTTTAAATTGATTTCAGAGGGAAAGAGATAGAAACATAAATGATGAGAGAGAATCATTGATTGGCTGCATCCTGCATGCCCCCATCTGGGGATCGAGCCTGCAACCCAGGCATGTCCCCTGACTGGGAATTGAGCCGTGACCTCTTGGCTAATAGGTCAGTGCTCAACCACATAGCCATACCAGTTGAGCAACATTGGTTTCTTGTTGGAAGAGCAACATGGGTAGCTAGAGGAAGTGCATACTTATCTTTCTGTTTTTCCTTGGTTTCTTTGAGCTTCCTCTTCCTCTTCTTGTCCCTTAAATGATGGTATTCTCTGAGATGTAACTATGGGCTTTTTTTCTGTCTTTTTTCTCTCTCTCTCTCTTCTAGGATTCCTATGGTGCAAATGCTAGTGTACTTGATGTTGTCCCTAAGGTCTGTTAATATCTTCTCACTTTTTAAAATTCTTTTTTCTTTTTTGCTGTTTCAGTTGGGTAGTTTCTATTACCTTATCTTTGATGTCACTGATCTGTTCTTTTGCCTTTGATTTCTTTTGTGTATTTTTCATTTTATTTATTGTAGTCGTCAGTTTTGATTTTTATTTATTTTGATTTTAAGAATATTTTTGAATTTTTATAATCATGTATTTTAGCCATAGCTGATTGGCTCAGTGGAATAGCGTTGCCTGCAGACTGAAGGGCCCCAGGTTCGATTCTGGCCAAGGGCACATACGTTGGTTGCAAGCGTGGAGGCAACCAATCGATGTGTCTCTCTCACATTGATGTTTCTCTCTCTGCGTCTTTCCCCATCCCTTCCACTTTCTCTAAAAAACAAACAAACAAAAAAGCTTAAAAAATAAAAATGTATTTGAGCCAGCCTTGGCCTGTGTTGGTCAGTGGTAGAGTGTTGGCCTCGTGCACATACCTA